TGAGATCTCGGAGAAAATTATGGAAGCTAAAGGTGAAGGAAAAGTTGGAGAAGAGAAGAAAACAGTACAAAATGGTGAAGCTGCTGCTCCAGAAAGTGAGAATACTCCTGCATCTTCCCCCTATGAACCCAAACTCCCATTCCCTGGTAGATTCAAGAAGCAGCTGCTATAAAAGTACAAGGCTCTGTTTGAAAAGCAAATGAGTGAAGCTCAGGTTGCAATGCCAATCATTGATGCTTTCATGTTGATTCCTCAGTACAGCAAGTTCCTGAAAGATGCTGTAGCTGCAAAGAAGAAGGAGATGGAAAGCATGATGATTCTTACTCATGAGTGCAGTGCCATCATCCAGAGGCTGAATGTTCCAGAGAAGTTAGAGGATCCAGGATGCTTCACACTCCCTTGTGCTCTTGGACCTATGGTATTTGAAAAATGTCTCTGCGATTTGGGAGCTAGCGTCAGCGTGATGCCTTTGTCTATTGCAAATAAGCTTGGATTCACTCAGTACAAGAAGTGTAGACTCTCTCTGGTGTTAGCTGATCGTTCAGTGAAGTACCCTGTGGGAATCTTAGAGGACCTCCCTGTGAAGATTGGAAGGTATGAGATACCTACAGACTTTGTGGTGCTTGAGATGGGTGAGGAGGCTCAAGACCCTTTGATTCTTGGAAGGCCGTTCCTAGCTACAGCAGGAGCTATTGTTAATGTGAAGGAAGGAAAGATTGATCTCCATTTGGGTAAAGAGAACATCCTCCACTTCGACATCAAGGAGAAAATGAAAAAACCAACTGTCTTTGGGCACGCCTTCACCATTGAAGAGAAGGGCACTCCTGCTGATGAGAACCTTGAAGAGCTACCACCTGAGGACGACATGGAGGGAGAATCTCCCTCTACAAAATCCCACTAGCAGGTATTCTATCACCTTCCATTGTATATACCAGTTTTTCTTTGCATATTAGTCTTCCTTTTGGGTATCTCTCTCTACTTAACAACACAGAGACTGTGTGACTTAAGTTTGGGGGAGGTACAAAGTGTTTAATCATGTTTTCTTTGATGATTTTGAGTCTCATGCATTGCATTGTACATATTTATTGGCATAGAAAAACCATAAAAATTTTGAAAAATTTTAAAAACCAAAAAAAAAATCATGTAGGTTGCATCACTTGCATTTCTAGGAGAGTCTAGAGCATATAGCTTGCATTCATATGCATTGGGAACTATTATTTTGAAACACCTTGTGAAAAACACTTGTCAAGAGCTCAAAGTGACACCCTAGTTAGACACATCAAGTAGCTTGAGCATCTCTTGAAAACCTTGCACGCTTCGAGCTTTGAAAACTCTTCTTGAAACATGTTTGCTTGCTTTAAATTGACATTGTTCTTAAAACCAGCTCCAATCTGAATTTTGGCTTAATGAACTTAATCTCTCTTGCATATGGGCACTTGCATACTTGATCATGGATCTCATACACATTTGGGTTATCTTATCCCATTTTTACCACTCTTTTGTTAACCCAAATGGTACTCCACACCCTTAATTTGAACCCAAGCCATTCTTTTGAGACCAAACATTTGATTTGCATNCATTTGATTTGCATGAGTGAGGCCTTCTTTTGATAGTTTGTCATGTGCAAAATCTTGAGAGTATTGGAGGCGACATAGGATTGTTCTCATCTCTTGCTAGCATAGGAACCTCTTTTGAGCTAGCATCTAGGATGGTGGGTGGGTTTATGTGTTCTAAAGTTAATATCTTGGGTTTTGAATGAGAGATCATGAGAAAGTTAAACAAAGTGTGTCTTGAGAAAAGAAGGAAGCCATTAGGGACTAAAAGAAAAAAAGAGAAGCTCTAAATTGTGTATTAAGGAACCCTTCCCAAAAAAAAAAAAAAAAAAAAAAGAAGAAACAAAGAAATAAGTTTGGGGGAGGAGATGTGTGAAGAAGAAGAGTTAGAGTTGCAAAGAAGAAAGCTTGTGATGAGTCCCTAGTTGGTTGTGCTAAAATAAAAATAAAATAAAAAGAAGAGAAGAACTTGTTCATTGGGTGAGTGATGTGAGCAAAGGTTATTTGGGGTATGAGATGAAGAAAGAAATGGTTAGAAATTGTGTTCACTTAGGACAAGGGTAGAATGATGAGAACAAGACTATGTATGCATCAGTTGCTTCTAGTCTTAGATAAATTTTGCATAATGATCAAGCTCCCTGTTCTTGAGTGATAGTCACTAAAAATGATGCATCTGAACCCTCTTTTTTTTATTCTCATAAGACCTATTGCTTGCCTAGCCAAATGATTGAGATCATGTGCCCATTTGTGAGACTTCACTTTGTGTGTGTGTGTGTGAACTAATGTGAGGGCTGGTTTAAAGGCTTGCAAATTGAAGAGTATTGCATCTTGTTTAAAGGAATAAGAGTGTGTTGATAGGCCTAGAGAAGCTAGAGTGCTATAAGAGAGTGTGCTCATGCTACTTGGAATGTCTCTTTAGGATGTTAAGTTGAATTCTTAGATGTGTTTCTCTTGGTCATGAGTTCCCACCTTCAAACCTCTCTTTCCATCAGTCCTTGAAAGTTCACTTGAGGACAAGTAAAGGACAAGTTTGGGGGAGTTGATATGTTGCATATTTACTTGATTTTAACATTGCATTCTTATTCATGTTGAGCATATAGATTAGATTTAGGCACTCTTAGGTTGCATTTTGCATTCAATTGTCTTTATCAGGTGGTGAAACATGCTGTGGAGTTCTTGGAGGTGTTTGGGATCAATTATGTGCCAAAAGAGAGTGCAAAAATGTCATTTGGCGAGCCAGAGCGGTCACAGCGGAGTCAAGAGGCCGCTACAAGCAAAACCAGCCGGAGCGGGGGTCATGCAGCGGCTCCGGAGGGTCGCTCCGCGTCCACAGCGGGGTTGACACAGCGGACGCAGGGGGGTCGCTCGCCTTTGAAGAGAAAACGAGAGAGAGCTCACAGCGGCCCTTGGCAGCGGGGTCAAGACCCCGCTGTGAGCTCCGGAGCGGGGTCGTGCAGCGGTGTTGTGACCCCGCTGTGCGTCTTTTATGTGGCGAAAATAAGATTTTGAGGACCTTTTTGCAATTTTCGTTTTTTCTGTTTTGAGTTTCAGAAACCTAATTAAAACTACGTTGTAAGCCTCTAGAGGCAGATTATCTTTTGTTCTTGAAGAAAACTTCTTTTGGATTGAGATTTCATTGCTTTCATATTATGTTCTTGTTGATTTCTTGTCTATCTCTTTACATGATTAATCTGAAATCCAATATGGGTTTAAGAGAAATCATGGAGATTAGTGAGTAATCACCTTTTGAATTCATGGGTTAGGGAGATTAAGGGTGATTAGGTTAGATTTAGGATGTTTTAGTGTTAGATTTCTCTTGTTCCTTGCTTATTAGAGTAACCATAATGCCTCTTTTGAATTGATCACTCAAAAGATGATCTCTAGACATTTCCCACTCACAAATTGTTCGATGAAATGTCTGAGTCAATTCTCTTAAGCTTTTAACAGTCTTTACCAGGGACACTTGTTGTTAAAGGTGTTAAGATGGCTAATAGATCTATTCTTAATGATTACTTTCATAATATTCAACCAAAGACATTTGATGCTTGAGTTATGGTAGTAAATGAACATTCATCTAGACATAGAGCTTGTTTAGAATCGTANCTCCTTTACCTTCTTTGTCAAATTTATATTTTTTATTGCATTCTAGTTTTAGTTAACCTTAAAAACCAATCAATCACATGATCGCACTTAGATTAAGCTAGTACTTGTATTCTCGGTGCTTTTAAATCCCTCAGAACTGGTTCGACAAACACCTATACTACAACATTTGCTTTAGGAGCCTTGAAAACTCCTAACATCAGAGTTCCACAAGGCTTACAGAAATGTTTGACAGGCCAGTGTTAAGGATTGTGAGCCTAGTCCTGTTTTGTGGAATGCGAGAATCTTCCTTATTTTCTCTGCGTTCTTGTGACTTGAAAATAACTTATTTCTCTTTGTGTCTTACTGTTTTAGACTAGCTGGGTTTCTAGTAATAGTGTGCTGGGACATCAATCTCAATCGTCACTGCAATCGGTGTCGCTGTGTTGACTGTGTTCCAACAAGAAAAATGGAGTTGCAGCGACATGACTACTTCATGCGAGGTATACCATTTAAACCCTTAAAGCTTAGGCCTTAGTGTGACACTGATTCTAGAGTTCGAGTCTTTTACATACACAAATCATATGTGAATTTGATAGGCAATGGTGAGTGATGCTCAGCTAATACTAACTGACTAGTGCATGGCCAATGAGAAGTTCAGGAAATTCCCTTACACCCAAAGCCAGGACACAAGACCTCTGCACACTCGTATATGACCATGTTTCAGCTCCTTTGTACTTCCCATACTTAGATAACTGCATATAATACCAAAACTCTCATACTATGTAATCCTTAGTAAAGTCTTGGCACTATTATGGAATAATGGGTACGGGGATAAGACTTGAAATGAGACGAGTGCCTTAGTTGTTGATACTATGAATCTGAATACTAAAGTCTACCAAGCTTGGTCCCATAAAAGGACCCAGTAGCCCTATTAGTTGCTTACATACACTTTACCCCCAATAAAATAATAATAGCAGTAAACGATTAGGTGATGAAGAGCGAGATGCTCATCACAATGTGTCTGAGAAAGAGTTGGTAAAATAAAACAGATTGTCACGTGGTAAACCAAGAAAAACTCAATGCAGAAAGACCAAATACTTATATATAGTACGATTACTACTACTTGGGACTTGAGAGAGATTCCAGCAAGATCAAAAAGTCCTTCATTTAACCTGTGAACACAAAAAATGCATTATCAAGTCAAGAAAGGAACTGGACTGTACTCTGAAATGCAGCTACATGTGTAATATTCTTAAAAAGAATACACTGTACCAAAGTATAGAAAAGGACAAGGATTGTAATAAATAAGAACTACCTCAGTACATTCCGTGTGGCTGATGGAATCTTGTGGCACCACAGAATCTTTCACATGCCTTGAGCATATGTCAAGGTCAATTGTGTCTCCTTCACAGCTTCATTGTCACTGGACTCTTTGCTTCCATCCTCCTCATACAAGCCCTCAGCAAGACCGCTCTCAGAAACCTCCTGCACAATAATCTTGCCAAACAGCTGAATAGCTCTTAAAGTGTGGCCTCGGTTCCCAACTGGTTCATTTCCAGAGGATACATTAGTGGTATTGCTATTAGGCGACAAGTCATCTGATGGAGGGCTGCCATATTTCATCATCTCAGTCTCGACTTTTCTCAGCCCAGGTAGTGGACTAAAGAAGTTATTAGTGCATAACTGTGGAGAGTTTTCTCTGATGAATTGGGTTGAGTTAAAAGACCCAAATTCATAATGCCTGGCTCCCTGCATGCCCGCAGGAAATGTAGTATACGAGAAAAAATAGGGACTAGTTGGATCCACAGCTTGTTGTCTTCTTCCAGAATAGAGCATTTCTCCTTCTCCATTCAATAACCCTCTCCCGCTATAGGGATCAGACTTCACCCTCTTCGCTGAAGGGAGAGTAGCATAAAGCTGACTTGAATTCGAAACGATTTCAACTTGCCAAGGATTCACTCTCTTCATGTTCTTCAGAATCTCAGGTTCATCCCATGTGATCTGCTCAAGCTCAAACCAAATGAATTATCAAAATATACTGCCAAAACACGAGTTTCCTCAACATCTTCCTATACATATTTCTCTGATCCTATTTCTAATCAAACACATTACCTAACATTATAGTTCATCCAGCAGTGAGACTCTACCTACTCATGAAAGGCTAATAGTTCCATTTGACAACGCTAAACAGTGTATGTATACCTGAAGCTGCTTCCATAACCAGTTTCTTGAAACGTGGAGGAAACAATCCCCTGAAACCACGTAACCCTCGAAGAATCCTCAGTCTCCATAGCCATCTTAACTCTAGTCCCAAGGCTCTAGTATCCAGCCATGGAAGCCTCAACATCCTTAGCCCTCACCACAAAGTCTGACCACCCCGCCGTCGGATAATAAACAACCTCAAACGGATAGCCCTGCACCGCCTTGTTAACCGCCTCAGAGACAGCTTCCGCATTCAACTTCCCTTTCCCAGTCCTCCTAAACCCCTTCTTACCTCCTCCATAGTACTCATCCCCGCCGGAGACTAGCGCTCGCCTCACACCTATAAACATCTCATCAACAGACTTCCTCATGAACACAACCGAATCTCCAGCGATAAGCTTCTTCCCGTTAACGAACTTGCTCCATCCCGTGGTCAACAAGTGCCTCCGCGGCGTACCGTGGTAGATATGCCAGAAGTCCCAAACCACGCCGTGGATATCGGTTATGAACAGCTTCTGAACCGGAGGATCGGCGTGGAAATCCAACGGAGGGAAGACGGAATCCGTGCAATAACGCGGGACGGATAATCCTCCTCCGTTATTAGCATCAGACGCCGTTAAAATCTTCGCGAACGTCGTAACAACCTTATTCTCTTCCTCGTCGCTCTTGTATCTCGAGAAATTGGAGGGAGCGAAGTGCTCGGAAGATATTGGTTGTAGCGAGAGGTGAGCGAAGACCTTGTCGGTGATCGGATCGGCGAGTAACTCTACCGAGGAGACGACGCAGGGGACGAGAGCGGTTGAGAAGGAGGAGGAGGAGATGAGGGAGGAAAAGTGCTCGATATGGCCTTGAGGGAAGTAGTAAACCCTAGAGTAGAGAGTAGAGATCTGGACGGAGGCGCCTGCGCAAGCGCGCCAGATCCGTGGGTCGACTTCGCGGTGGAAGTCGGCGGTTACCGACGGTGATATTAACGGTTGATTCTTTTTTTTGTCACTGTGGAGAAGTTAGGTGGTGGCACTGTTAGGTGTTAGAAAGAGAGAAACAAAATTAAAAACGGAGGGATTAGATAGAGATTAGTAGATTTTTACTATTACGCAGTTACGGGATTTTTTAATTCGAATTTATAGTTTTTGCCACACGACAACAAAGCTTTATATACAGTTACCTGCTTTTTTACACCGTCCGATCTCGCGATATTCCTTTTTCTCTTTTTAAAAAAAAAAAAAAATTCTTGCTTTTTGGTTCCATTAATTATTGTTTTAGCCTCGTTTTTAGGTTTATTTAATGATGCGTGATAAAGATAAATAATGTCCATGATTAAGACCTAATTAATTTGTTTTAAAGAAAGAGGAATAATTAGCTACCTGTTGTGCTGAGAAGTGAAAAGGGAATATTTTCCTGTAAATTTAGTATTTCAGAGGATGAAAATATATTGAGTTGAGATACCGACCATATTAATCTTAACATTTTGATTTGTCTTTAACGCCACACATAGATTTCACTGAAGTTACCTTTCTTTTGACAAAGGTTTGAATTGGGAAGAAAGCCAAAACATTATTTTGTCGATTTTCTCACATCATTTGTCTGATTATTATAAACTTTTTCATGTTTTCAGGAAATAAAAATCACCATGTCGATTTTCTCATATTAAAAAAAAAAAAAAACACATTTCTTTATCTCCAAGATACTTATTTGTTTAACATATCTTCGCAGAATATTGTATTTTCGTAACTATATATACTTTTTTTATCTACAAAATCAAAATACATCCAAGTGAACCACCTCCAAATTAATCTTGCTTATCTATGCAGTTAACTGTTAACCATATCGTATTCTATGCTCCGTTAAAGCGGGCCTGTTTCTGCTTTCGATTTTCTTGTAACAAATAGCCCATTATCACATAAATGTTACGATATTAAATAAGACAATGATTTAATGCAACAAACGACAATTATACCAATAAGTCAAATGACAGATAGTATTTTCACAACAACCTGGTTTTTAAAATACTGACGATAACTGAAACAAGACATAAAGAGCAAAGCAATGACAGATAGTATTCTCACAACAAACTGGTTTTCAAAATACTAACGATAACTGAAATAAAAACCCATTAAAATAGAACAAGACATGAGAGCAAAGCATCTCTCAATCCTCCCCTTCGGTCTCGGAATCAGCAGTCTGGAGCCAATCCACAAAAGGCTCAACATTCTTCCAAACAGACGAGCTCTTGTCAGCTCCTGTCAGACCCTTTTGGTACCATTCCAACACAAGCTCTTCCTCAATAATGTCTTTGTCGTACAATGCTTTAAGAACACGAGCCACCTCTTTACCCACCTCTTCGTTATCTTTCTTACGAAAGAAAGATCCGATTGAGTTGAGCAGATGCATCTGTGAACCATCCTCTTGCATTGCAGCCGCTATGTACTTACTCTTTTTGATCACTTCTTCAGCAAATTTTTTGCTTACACCATCAAAGAGAGTATTGACGAGTGCGTCCATAACATCTTGAGGAGGATCAGAGAGAGAGGAGATGAAAGTTTTGAGCTCGCTTAACGGTGAGCCTTTCTTCAGATACTCTTTCATCACCTGCACGAGCTTATTGGGCTCCTCTTCTTCTACAGAGAGCATCACCAATTCAGCAGTTGCAGCACTCAACTGTTCCTTCATTCTCTTCTCAGCAGCTTCTCTAGAAGTGTCGGTCTGCCACTGGATACCATCATCATCTTCATCATCCTCCTCCTCCTGCACACTCTCATCGTGCTTTGGACTTATATCCTCATCAGAAGTATGATTCTTGGACACCTTAGAAGAAGAAGACTCCTTCCCGTTAGAAGGTGCTTTCTTCTTGAGCTTCTTCTGCGCCTCATCAGCAGCTTCACCTTCCTTAAGCCTCTCCTTCTCAGCTCTCCTCATAGCCTTCTTATCCTTTCCCCCCTTCTTCGCCTCAGGCGGGTTCTTCAGAATAAACGTCGTCAGTTTATCCCTCATGTCAACCTCAGAGATAAACCCACACGCAGCACACTTAAGATTCACCATCTGAGTCTTCGTAATAATAATCTCAGTCTCAGGGTTCCCACATCCATAACACTGAACATACCTCTTAATAAAAGCCTCAAGAAGCTCCGCAAGCTTAGCCGTGCTGTGAGCTCCATTCACAAGCGAAGTCCCAGTCTTCTGGTCAAACTTAGACTGAGCACCCAACTCACAACCAAAGTACTTTGTCGTGTAAGAAGCAGGTCTCCCCAAGGCCTTTGCAATCTCGACATTGTTGACAATGTTGGTCTTGATTCCGTTACCTTTGCCTTCAATCTTGGTAACCATCTTAGGCATCTTGTACCTGTAAAAGGCATCGTTACGGTTGGATGCACCAATGTTCTGGAGCGCCATGTTTAGTTAGTCAGAGAGTGGAGGGGGAGTCTCGGGTTTGAAGATGCGTGAGCCTAGAGTGATAAAGGAGCTAGTAGTGGTTCTTAGCTCCGGATGCAGGATAGTACTTTCCAAGCAACCAGATTGACAACAAAACGGTGAGATCTTGACAGACATAAAAGAAAGCTTCAAACTTTTCGTTTCTTCCGCTTGCAGGGCTTGAAACTGTTACCTCCTGTAAAGAAAACGCTGAAAAGTAACAAAGGAACCACAGAATTAGAAAGGTTATTGAGTAATAAACTAAAAAAAACTGCAACCAATCTAACGTCTAAGAGACTCTACACAAGACCAAAACAGGTACACAAGATAAAAGATACATATCAGAAACACGCAAATTAAATATCTTAGCAGATTAGTTATACTACACACAGTTCAAGCCACACAATACAAATACGACGACGTTTTAAGCAACTGAAGAACATAGTCTGTCAACAGAGACCTAAGGGAGAATCTAAATCTAAAAACCAGCGAGCTATTACACAAGATCCAAACATCGTCCCAAATTTTTTTTAAAAAAAAGCACAAATCAAAAGTCTTCCTCAGGAGATTACTTATTCTAAACCGATTCAAGCCACAACATACGAGTACGACGTCGTTTCAAAGAGCTGAATCATAATTAGATTCTAGTAGATCGAAAATCCATCCAGCTCAAGAGAGAAGACAACATATAATTGATTAAGACGCTGCATACGAGACCAAACACCTCCAGAAACAGATCAGATTGTAACGATAAAAACATCAAAAACAACGACAAAACTCGAAATTAAATCCCTAACACGCCCAAGGATGAGGAGACGTACCTCTCTTCTTAGACGAGGATGAGAGAATTGAAGACGAAAAATGATTTGTGTGTTGAGAGAGGCGTTTGCTTATATGCGATGGAGAAATTAGGGTTAACTTAGGAATAAGCTGGAAGACCCAATTCTTTTTTTTTTTTAATTGCATAACAACTAACAAGGCCCAATACTTAGCTGTTTCTGTCCTTTTTCGCAAGTTATATTATTTTCATTTAGTTTCGAGTTTTAAATTACTGAAAGAAAGATATAAGTTATCTTGCACTCATGTGAAAATGAAAATTAGGTCAAGTTTTTAGTCAATAATTTTTTTTATGAGAATTCAAAAACATGAATTCATGTGACAAACAACTTCACGCTTGCAATTAATGAATAAAAACATAAATTATTAAGAAAAAACCATAGCTATATATATATAATTTAAAAATGGCAATTTTCTCAAATAGATCTCTTTTAAGTTTTTGTTACAAAAATAGACCTCAAAAATTTAAATGACCAAAATAGTATTTTTTATTTTTAAAATTTTAAGTAAGAGACATCTCTATTTTTCTCCGAATGAATCTTTAGAATTACCATTGCTTAGCTTTCAATTCACCTCTGACCATCAAATGAATAACCCGTCCTCCTCTCTTTGAAACAAGGAGCGCTTATGGTTCTTGTTTGAAACAATTTTGTCTTCTCCATATTACTATATCTCTAGAGTCAATAATTTTATATGAGGAATTACTGAACTCAATCACTTGATATCGTTTCTCTTCAGTTTTCTGTTGAGGTCTATCATGTAGAGGTACTCAAATTGGATCAGTGATCAATTTCTAGGTTTTGTCGTAAACCTAATTGGTTACTTCCAATTACGTAAATCAAATAGTTAAAACCGCACTCAAAGGTAGGACATTTCCCGTTTTTACAGGAACTTCTATACCAGAAACAATGGTATCTCCAATTATAGCCCCTCTGGATGTAAAATATATCTCTTCTCACCATCCCCATAGTGTATGAGACAAATGTATGCATTTCGATTAGGGTCGTACTCTATGGTTACGATTCTACCATATATGTGTTTTGTATTTTGTCGAAAATCTATTTTACAGTATAGACGTTTATGACCTCCCCCTCTATGCCTTATTGTAATGATTCCTCTCGCATTACGACCTTTACCACAATGATGCTACACATAGATTAAATTATTTCGTGGATTAAAAAAAGGCATTTTTGTCACAAAAATAAAACTCAAAAATTAAAATGACTAAAATAGCATTTTTTATTTTTTAAAATTTTATTTAAAAAAATAAAAAATTGAAACTCTATCCCAAAAACTCACTCCTCAACTCTAAATAAAAAAGTGTAGGCTTAGTTAACCCAAAGGGTATAAATGTATATTTAATAAAATATTTAAGTGTTATTTTGGTCATTTTAATTGTTAAGATCTATATTTGTGATAAAAAAAATTTAAGGTCTATTCTAGTCATTTTCTCATTAAAAATGGCAAATAAGAAAAATCAACTAAAATTATAGAGAAATTGAAAAATCAGCAAATTTTTATTTTATAGTAGAAAATGTATTTTCAAAATAACAAGATAATACACAAGAGTTATACTTCCTATGTTTCATTATAAGTGTCGTTTTAGGTTCATGCACACGGATTAAGAAAACCATTAATTTTGCATATTTTCCATATAAAACACAATTATTTATACACCTAACCATATATCAACCAATAGAAAAATAGATTACAGAATAAAATTAATAAATTTTTCATTGAAAATCGAAAACGACACTTATTTTGTAATGAAAAAAATTCTCTAAAACGACTCTTAATATGAAACGGAGGGAGTATTATTTTTTAAAATACAATATTATTGATAAAATTTTTGTTTATTTACATGTTGACAAAAAGAATTTTTTAATTATATAATAATTTTATATATTATATTAAAAACTTGATAGATAAATAAAACTAACTAAATCATGGAGAAATTAAAAAATCAGTAAATTCAGTATAGATAATCAATTAGTAAAATATTGTTAACGAATCCGATTTGTTAAGGAAGTAATTACGCTTCTGAATCCGAGTGGGCGTAGGAATATACGCTTGGCTTTGGTTATAAAACAGATTCAATTATACGAACAACAAAAGTATTAGCAGAGGAGAGTAATTATGAAAGGTCGTCGTCTCGGTAGTCTCAAGCTTTACAAGTTTGATGTGCCTTATGAATCTGATGTCGCTGTTATAGTAGTAAGCTATGGAGCCGTAGAAGAAGCTCTACGGATTCCATTGACGCGATACACAGGAAGAGGACAAGGAAGAGGATCAAAAGCTGGATTGTCCAAATCGTTCTTAGGTCAGATCAGTGCGTTCTTCATTGGGCCCAAAGATTCCAACTTACTTAATCAGATCTCTGACTACATAGCCTCCAACTTTTGTTTCAAGGATCTTAGCATGGTACCTCCAACATGTCCGGTCCTCGTCTTTCACTTACAAACTAGAGAGTTTGGTCAAGAAGACCATCATGTCCCTGAGACTAACATGACAACATTAACACCCTTTCTTTTAAGCACATTGAATACCAGACATTCTATCCTTGCCGATGAAGATGCAATAAACAGATGTGTACCAATTGCCCCACCAGTGACAGAGATCCTAGATTGTTACCGAAGTTTGGAAGAATCTTGTAGTCTTTGTGAGAAAGGGTATCCAAAAGAAGGTGAGATTGTTCATAAAACAAGATGCAATCACATCTTTCACGGGACTTGTATCTCTCGTTACTTGCTGCGCACTCCTCGTTGTCCTCTTTGCACCACTCACTTGCCACCTGGCGACATCCGAACTCTCCTTTTCTCCTAAGATTTTGGTGTTTTTCTTTCTTTATATTTGTTGCGGCTTTAATGAATTTGTCGTATGGTATTTAGGTCATTAGTATCTCTTTTCTTGAAAACATCAAACATATATATTTAGGCTTCCATTAACATATCTTGTATCTTATGCATTACTTCCGAAGTCAGATTCTCTGATTCGGATACATTGTCAATTGTTGAGCATATTGTTTTTTGTTTGTTTCATTGACTTCAACAACTTACACCTTGAAGAAAGCTTATACCAAGTGGAATAGTGTACGATGAGGAAATTCTGATTGATCACTGATGAAGAAATTCAAGAAACTGAAACGTAGAGCTCACGTTGCTGCTAATATTGTCTGTTATGATATGGTTTTACTGGCTTTCGCAACATACACCTTGAAGAAAAAGCTGCACTAAATAGAGCTGTGTACAATGGGCTTATTCTGAAAGTATTTACTTTTAACAGCAGTTTCAGTCCTTGGTCTCTTGCATTGAATAGGATTTGATAGGTCACGAATGGGGAAGTCAAGAAACTGAATCGTAGGGCACACGTTACTGCTCCTTATCCATCACCACCATTTTTTTTATAAATATACGTGTCGTTTGATTAATGCCTTTTGAAACAAAACAAAAAAGTTGTAACGCAGTCTTAGACCAAATAAAATCCGACTTTCTTTAAAATTAGGTGTTTTGTCCACACATATGTACTTAATTTTCTTATGAATATTTATTAGTATGTGTTTTATTAATTTAAAACAACACAATAAATTATGATTTATATTTTTAAAATTAATTATAAATGACAAATTTTACATAGCAGAATATTTAAAATATATTTATACAAATGTTTTGCTTGGTTTATATTAATTATAATTTTGTTTCTTATTTTTCTATAATATAAAAATATTTTTCAAGATAATATTATTAACGAAATTTTTTTTTATTCTATAATCAATTATATATGAAAGTTATTTAAAATATGACAAATAGGCAAAATCATCTAAATCACGGAGAAATTACAAATCAGTAAACTCACTTAAATTTTATAATAAAAAATATATTTGCAAGATAACAATCTAATATTGTTAAAAAGATAACAATCTAATATATAATAATTATCTTATTTTTTAAAAAAATATAATATTATTAATATAAATTCATTTTTACTATGTACTAAATTATTGGAAGATAATAAATAAGGAAAATTTCCTAAATTATGGAAAGTTAACAAATCAGCATTGCTTAATTTATATTTACTTATATTTTTTTCTATTTTATTTTGTTAGTTTCTATAATAGACAAATATTTCTTATTAAATATTTATTTTTGATTAATTATTAAATTCTATTATTGAATATTTATTTTTCATAAAACCTGATAAATTACATATTTTACATGTTCAACATGTCAGATTTATATATGTCACTTTAAAGATTTAAAATGCTAATGAAAAAAATTTAAAGTTTAAAATGATAGTAAGTGTCATTTCAAAGTTTTTATACGAATTTTCCTATAAATAACAATAACTAAAACATTAAACATAGTGGTACTTCTTCTATCTTTTTGTATCTTTTGTCTTTAACAAGTTTTTTTTCTTTGTGAAAGGGTTGTCTTTAACAAGTTAACTAATTTTTTTACATTACTAACATTTTAGGAAAAAACGCGAACGTAATTTATTCATTATTTTTTTTAACATCATTTTATTCATTAGTTTATCTATAACTCTCCATGTATTTTCAACTAATTCATGCAACGAAAGAGTAAATAGATGAAAAAAGTAATAAAACTAAATATATATTATAACAATCATTTATAATGATTATTAGTATTATCATTCCTACGATCGCTTGTAGGAATATGCTTATATGTTTTATGTTACTATCAAAATATAATAAATCAATATATGATTAGTAGAAAATAAAATTTTCTGAAATAATTATAAGCTTTGTTTTTTTAACGCTGGATAATTATGTTATTAGAAACTATATGAGAAATATTACAGACGATTCTATTGCCGGCCATTCTACCTGTCTTATGAGGATTCACGCCTGACTGTATCACATGAGCCGCCCCATCGGATCCACCGTGGACGGTACTCCTTACGTCATGCTGCAGATCTCTTGTAAGCATTTTCTCATTTAATTCGAATAATTTCGCTTTTTCGGGATTCGAAACACAGACCTCCTGGTGTATAAGCATTAATGAATCCTTAGTCAAACCACTAGACCAAAGGGGCTTCCACTTATAAGCTTTGTTGGGCAAAACTATATTTATTTATTTTCCGAGTGACTGATGATTTCATCTATCATTGTAATTACATATACTAGAGTAGCTAACGTACGTAACAAAGCTAGAAAATGCTTCATGGACATATAAAAAACTCTTATTTTGCTCTAGTTCTCATCTTGTTGCACTTCTTGAGCTATACCATGAGTCTACACAAGCGACGAATACAAACTGGAGCTCCATTGCGTAAATCTTATTTACATCAGGGATATGTCCCCAGCATCCGTTCAAAGCGCTCCTTGTCAGGGGCAGAGGTAAGAGGACGGTAATGGGGTCAGTTGACCACACATTATTTTAATTATCCAAAGTGTTTTAACAAAGTTTATAACATTAACCTCATTACAAATTTTTTATTGACTCCTATATAATTTGAAATCCATGTTAGTCTATTTGCAAAAATAATTGAAAATAATAGTCAAAATTTTGATATAAATTGGATAGTATTAACGTATATAATTTACTTTATCAAAAAGTAAGAACAAGTAAAAATTAAGGACTAATTTATAATTAAGAAACTCCAGCTTCAAAGAATGAAACAATGAACATTATAACTTTAAATTTGAAGCAACATTATTTATTGTGTCATCTAGAAATAAGAAATGAAGCATCATTTGGAGAAAAAATTGCTTCAAAATAAAGTAAAAAGTGAAAAATGAAGCACCATTGGAGATGGTACTAAGATTATGCACTATAGATGACGCATCATTCATGTTGAAATTTTGTGCACTTTCTTCTGTAGATATGTGATGCAAACTTTCTCGGGTTGCACGGGTTTACTTGCGAACATGTCCATCTCTCTAAGTACACCACCAGGAGCTACAGCTTGTTTTAACCGGATGTGATTATCAATCCATTGAACAATTTGATCTTCCATGTAATCTTGGAGCTGTTTTTGAGTGGGAAAGAGAGAGACGTTTTTTTTATTGGTTTGGTGCAAGTGAGTGACAGAAGCGCTCCAAATGTTTCTATTTAAATTGATTTTTATAGAATCTTTAAATGGGCCTAGTTGGGTCACAACCAATAAATTTGCGGGATGTGATTGTATTGAAAATTGGGGGTCATGTAGCCAAAAGCTATTTGAATTTGTTTGTTTGACATGTGTGGTTTCTTTAGCTAGGACAGCAAGTTGGTTAGTGAACTGAACGACGATGGTATACTCTTTGATTACCAGATGATCTTACTATCTTTTAGTTGAACTTGTTTAATTGGTGTTGTCTTCTTTGTTTCAGAAAATGAATTAGTTTGTGTACTTCATTGGAAGCGATTGAGATACAAAGCTAGGAGCTGCTGGTGTTGGAACTTGAAATTGTTAAATGAATCAGTTTGTTTGGTTAGATAGTGTCCTACCGTCTTCTTTGATTGGATGATTGAATCACTAGATTCTGCACATAGTTCACAGTACCAAGGATCAGTAGATTCTTTACCAGATTCGTAGCAATCCATGTGAACATCAACCTGTAATTTGAAGGCATGATCAGATACCATCAGGTACAACCTACAATCAGGTTCAGAGCGTCTGCATATGCCACTCAAGTTATTGTATTTTCTAATGAGAAGTCTGGTGTATGATGATTAGACCGCTTCTCTAAATGTATTATACTATTATTGTAAAATCCTTTGAGACTCAAGAGCAGGGATAAAGTTAAAGTTGTGGTTTAAGAAGACCAAAGATGGGTTGGTTAAAAATGTAATGTGGGGATGGTCTGGTCTAAAAAAAAAAATAACATCTCCAGATGTTCTTGGATGTTAAGAGATCATGATGGTGAAGTAATCTTGCATAGCAGAAGGTCTTTTTCTGGTGTTGAAGATAGGGATGAATGCTTTTTTGTTGAATTGAAAACATTTATTGGCATAGGGTAGAGAGGGGTTACAATTGCAGCTGAGGTAAATCGTTTGATCTATGCAATTGAAAGATGAGTGTGAGTGCTTGGCCATCCTTCAAGCTGCACACTGATCAAACACACCAGTTGTGGTCTACGTACGGGAATTACCTCTATACGAACATATTCGAGGTTGTGGACACTGGATAGTTAAGTCATTTTCCATCTTATATGAATACAATATTTTTTAAAAAATCTACATAAACTAATTATATATTATATATGAGAGAAAAAAATACTATTGCTCTGAACAAATTAGAACATTTCCATTAGTAAATAACTAAACAGTATCTATGCATATCTCATCAGTAAAAATACCCTCAACACTATCTCTCTCTCTCACCATTTGTTTTTATATCAATGGTTACTATTTATTACTAAAATATTAGGTTTATAAAGTTTTTTGAAAATGCTCTTAGGATTTTAAAATTTTGTTAGATGATTACTCTGTTCAAGAAAATTTGATAACTATTTGACGACTCCTTAAAGACTGGTATAACAAGGAACAAAAAAGGCCTGAGGCCCATTATGATACGATAAAAGTGGATGAGAAAAATGGTTGCGTCTTGGAATCTAACCGCAAGTTAAAAAAAAAACAAAAACGACTTTTTGTTTGCGTACGTCAATTTGTAGAAGCAATCAATAGTTTTCCACATTTTCAAACCTCATGGAAGCTCGGAGCTCTCTGCTCTCTCCTCCTCCTCCTCAGGTAATCCCGTAGTCTCCTTCGCTTATCACCGGTAGTCTTACCTTTTCGCGCGCCTTCCCCGCATCCCTATTATACTGTTAATTTCGCTTCTCAAATTTTGTAGATAAGATTCGCGACTAGGAATACATTAGAGCGAGATCATGAATCATTGTTTGTATCGTGTCCTGAACTGTACACTTCGTTCTCGATCTTTTATATGATTGGATCCTAAAACTTGCGTTGCTGTTGATGAATGCTTTGTGAAATTATTGATTTGAAATTGCCTTTGATGAATGTTACTTCATATCTTGATTTTTTTCGTTTTCTTTGGATCTAATTGTCTTTGCTTGTGATATTGCCATTTTCGGATTCACTCTATTACTTCTCATTCTCGGATCCGGATCCAGATCCATGGTTAATGGATACTAGTGATCATTGAACATTTTTCAATTCCATGGTCAACCGATTCGTTGATTACCATTTTCACATGAATGGTTCCATTGGCTTTCACAGCTTGCACCTCATGAAAGAATGCTTAAACTAAGTAGAATCGTGTATTTGCGTTGAATTGGTTTTGATTGATCAATAATGGTGAAAAATTAAGAACCTGAAATCGTAGGGCTCACGTTTTTGCTATTAGTAATGATGATTCACATAGATGTTGCTATTGTGTTCTTTGATGGTTTCATTTTCTTTCACAACTTTCACGAGCTTACACTAAGTAGCATTGTGTCCTGATGAGCTTATTCACATGGTTTCTTTTGTTGAATAGGTTTTGATTTGAACACGAATGGGAAAAATCAAGAAACTGAATCGTATGTCTCACGTTACTGCTCCTTATCCATCACCATCGTTTTGTTGCAAGAAACAATGGTCTGGCTCAACTTGCCCAGTATGTTTGGAGTCTCCACACAACGCTGTTCTTCTCCTCTGTTCCTCCTATCACAAAGGATGCCGTCCTTACATGTGCGCAATAAACAGCCGTTTCGCCAACTGCCTTGACCAATACATGAAGTCATATGAAAACTCAGAGCAATAACCCCAGATTGTGTGTCCATTATGTAGAGGTCAGGTGAAAGGTTGGACTACTGTGGAAGACACACGGGTTCATTTCAACTCTAAGAGAGGGACTTGTATGCAGGAAACATGTTCCTTTGTAAGGAAATTCAAGAAGCTCAAGAAACACATGAAGGAAAAACACCCACATGCTTGTCCAAGAGCCATTGATCCAGCTCTAGAGACTAAATGGAAGAGGCTTGAGAGGGAAAGAGACAAAAGAGACGTGATAAGCACGATAATGTCGTCGACTCCAGGTGCTGTTGTGTTGGGAGATTGTGTCATAGAGCCGCGTCATCGGGGAGCTGTTAATGATGAAGAAGAAGATTGCAGTTCAGATGATGATATGAGCAAAGGTGTATTGGATTTGGATTCATGGCAAAGACAAAACCATCATATTAGGTTTATCGATATGAATGAGAGCGACTTCGTATCATCTTCGAGATCCCATGCTTCTCCACGCCATTTAGTCTTGCCACGTAACCCATAGAGGCGACAATAGAGGTTGGTAACTTTTAATTTAACTGTGAAGAAACTTCCAGTGGTCTTTTTAAAAAAAAAATTATTCTCATGTAAATTATGTATTCTGTAATTGTGTTATTGTTCTGCATTGTTGTACACTAATGAGACATGATCTCTTTTATGCCTTCTCTATTTTATTATGCATTGATTTGATTTTTATCTTCTTAAGTTCTCGAAGGAAAACAAAAAAAGGTTATATGGAAAAAGGATGTGATAACTCCTCAGTGTCAACTTCGGACAAATCTGTTTCCTGAGTGTCTCATTCAACATTTCACAAATGAAACTTAAAATGGTTATCACTAAAATGAGCCAATAGCTTTATTGCTCTCTGGGCTTTTAACATTATTGTTTGCATTGTATTGTGCCAACATTACATATTCTTTTTCCAACAAATAACACTAATGAAACATTTAATAACACTTCAATGATTAATCATTAATTAATGACCAATTTCCAGTTTTTTACTCCCTCCGTTTTATATTAAGTGTCGTTGTAGAGAATTTTTTGTGTTACAAAATAAGTGTCGTTTTCGGTTTTCATTGCAAAATTTATTAATTTTATAATGTAATTTGTTTTTCTATTGGTTAAAATATGGTTAGGTGTATGGGTAATTGTGTTTTTATATAGGAAATATGTAAAATTAATTGTTTCCTTAATCCGTGTGCATAGCTGTAAAGTGACACTTATATTGAAACAGAGGGAGTATTTACTACTCCCTCCCTTCCAAGAGTGTCATTTTCACACAATTAAAAATGATTAAAATGCATTTTTGTTTTTAACAGTTACATTCTACCAATAATTATTTAGATCAAACATAATCTATAAATCAAAACATTTTACAATTAATATCAATATCAAAATAAATATCTATTATATTGATCTTCTAAAGTGACTTTATTTTGTAATAAAAAAAATAAAATAACATTTTTATGAAATGGAAATAGTATAATTTAAGATATAGATACAACAGAAAAAAAATGTTATTGAAGCTGACAAGAATCTCACAATCATCCATTATAACAAGGAAAAACTATAATAATTTGACTAACAACAACAATATTCGAGATCTGTATGATTATTATAAAAACTGCATCTTATGGATGGTTGAATGAATAAGCAAAAAGAAAAAAATGTGATCCCTTGGACCACTGCTTTATGATATGCTTTCAAACCACCACGGGCTAATTCTAATTCTTTTCCATCAAACTAAACACTTTTTACTTGATAGTGCTTTAGATGTTACAAAAATAAAAAAAGACTTGATAGTGCTTTAGTTGATTATTTAACAGTGATAATAATTAGTGTGGCATCTTCCCACTTCACAGTCTTTAGTCTTCACAACAACAAGAATTTAAATTGCAATCAAAGAAAAAAAAGAAAAAAATAATCGGAGAGAAAAGGGGATATCCAGGGGAGGCGATATGCGTAAATATGGCCCTTGCCATTGCGAAATATGAATGTTACATAGATAAGTTCTTGGAGCTCTCTGATATTAATGCAAAAATTTTATTTTTTAAGAATATTTTAATAATATTATTCATTTTTCTCGATACATTTTTTTTTTAAAATATTTTTTCTCGATACATCTAGCTTTAGTGTTAAACTTATCTGAACATACCAAAGTTTTAGATGTATATAATCATGTGCGTTCACCGTTCAGGGCGGTAAATTGACCCAAAAACTTTGGGCGTTCCAACCAAACTTTAATGCAACTGCAGTCTGCAAATTAACTAGTAACAAAATTTTATAAATATTATCATGTGAAGAATAATACAAAAAAACTTCCTTGTATTACTATTAGGCCATCACTGATTTAATTTGTCTCTAGCATTTTCACTGCTTATAGTGATTAGTGAGTATACCAACTACATTTACTACAAAGTCTACAATTACAATGTATGTAGCACAATGTTTCAATCGCCCAAACCGTTGTTATTCTTTTACATTTATTTTAAATCGACGCTTTGGGAATATTTGTATATGAAAGTGTTTGTCTAGATTGAACTTAATCAATATTGGATCTTCCATTATAGGATGTGTTCTTAATCCACTACTGCGCTGATTTTATTTCGAACCACAGCTCGAATATTACATTATCTTTCTTAAATATCACTAAACTAAACTTATCAAAATTTTGTTTTCATCTTTTCATATAAAATCTAGTTTTTTATTCTTGTAGTTTTAGTTTTAATTGAGAATAGGTCTGAGTTAAAGTACAATACTTTTTCGACGTTAAATTGAGTACTATATGTCCAACTTTACAAGTGCCATTAAATTTGACTATAAACAATAAAAGTGTCCAATTATACTAATATGGCATATGTCATATGGGTCAAATTATATAGCCGTATGTGTTTGGTGTCAAGTGGTGCATTATATATTCTGGGATACGAGTAACAACTAGGATATAATCAAAATATATAGTAGAAACTTAACACTAATAATAATTTTGTTACACGGAATTTAATATTTTATATGAAATTAAAAGTGCTACTTTTAGGCAAAACAACAACAAGGAGGATTATAATTATGAAATTTGCTATTTCTCTCTTAATCGCTAGAATAATTTTGTTTGGCGGTAAGACAACTAAACACAAGTTTGGGATCTATATATATATATATAATGTGGCTACTGCATGGTAGCCAGAACTATTGGGTGTACACGATGAGACTAAGGACTCGATTTATAATAAATGAATTAGTTTCATTTCGAGTTAGTGTTTCAGAACATGTATTATAAGTTTTTTGTTTGTTATAAATCATTAAAGTTTTAAATTTATTGGATCTAGTTACTCATACGAAATAACTAATACCATATGTAAAACATAAACGACACTTCCAGATAAATATAATTTTGTTTCTCTCTTATATGTTTTCTATAAATTTCAAGATAATTACAAATACCTTTTTTGTCGAATTATATTCTTCTATAACACCATACATATATCTTTTATAACACTTCCCATATATTCTTCTGTTATATGATTTGTAAAGTATGTATAAACACAGGTTAATATAATATAAGTTTTTTTTTTTGCAAAATATATATATATATATATATATATATAAGTTTTTGATATAAAAAAAATCGTCAAAGATTATTTTTCTTACAAACATAAAATTTAATACAACAATATCAAGGGAAAATAAGCCCTTTTACAAAAAATATATATATATATAAAGAGAAATGAATTAATGCAAAATTGCAAACGCAGTGAAGTGGCTCAAAGAGTCGCGAAAGGAAAGGGTCAATGTCTCCCTAACCGCATCAAGCTCCCCAGTTGCCTCTCTATTCTTTTTTTAAATATACGCCATTTTTTCTTATTCTTTATAGTCAAATTAATTTCATAATAATCATTTTTCCTGTGTTTAAAATAATCATATATATTTATATATATTCTTATTTTTGATCCTTTGTAATAATCATAAATGGTAAAACTTAAAAACAAAATACTGCCAGTGGGACGTGAAACATCGATCTGAGAATTACATGTGCCAAATCTCCATATCATATTTAATTAGTGGTTGTTATTACTCCAGAATAAATGGGGACAAGCTTGTATGTTGGAGCTATGCTATGTTGCCGACGTCATTATTAAACATGAATTAAATAAAAGATATGCTATGTTGTTTTATGGTGCAGAAAATCAATACATTGTGATATTTTGCATTATCTGGTTATATGAAGAAATTGTCTAACGATTCGCGGTACATCATAGTTTAGGATTATGTTGCTGTCCGAGTACTTAATAATAAGCTAATTACAGTGACAGATTATAAGTTTTAATTATGTTTTTTTCGTTGCATTTGCGGCTACGTTTCGTTTACGTCTTACATAGTTAAACTTATTTTTAATGGTTATATAGTTGTTGTATATATTTTCTTTATCCTAAAGATATCAAAATATTTTCGCTCTTTTTTGGTGTAAGTATCCTATACACAATGTAACAGAATTGGGAAATGCAAATGAAAAATATACAATTTGTGTTTCGTGCATGTGAAGTTTATGCAATTTATTTTATAGCATATATTTTTTCAACATGTAAATATATACGTAAAATTAGTGTTTAAAAAAATATATACGTAAAATTTGCTTTCCAGATAATCATACTAAGTAAGATGGTAGCTCTATTAGTTACAGAAAAATGTGTTTTCATGTTATTGTAACTAATTTAACTTTTAAACATCTACATTGTAAGTTCCAATTTAATACGTGCATGAATATCATAATTTAAGAAAATATTTTTGCAACAACTAAAGTATTGACTGATAGACTTTGCGTGTTCTCTTTTAAAACTATTGAATTCAAATGTTAACAGAACTTATGATTGATAATACATTTGCATATTCTAACTCACGACAATACAAATATACAAATAAATATCACTGATATGGTACTTTTGAATACAAGTTCTTCTAATTTTTATTACAATGGTTTCTTCTTTATATTCTTATAAAGATCTACCAGAAATTCATATTTATATACATTAGATGTTGACTCAATACCAGCCCAAAGTTATATCACACTTAAACACGTCAAAGTTTGTCCTTTAACCATATTCACACCTAAAACTTTAAACTGAAATTGATGTCTTTGAAATATTTATACCTTAGCTCATGTCAAAAGTATAGTTTACCTTTTAAACTTTTAGTTTCAAAAATTATTCATTTAGTAAACTAAAATTATTCATTTAGTTGATTAATAAAAATAACACAACATACGTTAGAGTTTGGAATATCGAAAAGATTTTAGAAAGAATGAAGCTTCTCCTTTTAGAATATATATATATATATATATATATATATTATAAACAAATTTAAATATAGTGATCATTTTATAAATTGTATAAAGTGGCATTTAATTATATGTTAATATAGAATTGATGTAGTTCTTAAAGATTAAAATGCATGCTTTGTTGCTATATATGTAGTTGGTCCATTTTTAGATAAAATCATTGAAAATAAAAA